GGGAATTCAGGGAATTAAAGGGAAAAGAATATAGGGGACCCATATTTGGCTTTCTACCATAGAATCTTTGTTATAGATGATGAGAGAAAAATTGTTTCAATGGGGTATGCACACAGCTTGCTACAGGACTCTGGGCAGGCAGGAAGATGAAACTGAAACAGTCTAAAAGGAAAGGAACTAGACTTGACAATTTCCATTGACTTGACAAATTTCATTGGCAGATGCTTCAGAGGTTCTCCAGTGGGAACTAGAACAGGAAATGACCGACCGGGTTGGTACTCTAACTGGTAAGAAAAACTAAGACAGACGCTGTAAAGTCCAATGTCTAAGACATAAACACCTGGAATGGTAATGATGGGGGTTGGTGTTGGGGAGAAGGTCCCAAGATGTCCTAGAGACGCTGGTGAACTAGAAATGGGGAACTTCCAGGCAGAAGACAGATGTCTGCCAATGTTTTAGGTATGAAAAAATGTGACAAATGAGTTAAGAAATATTTTTTTAAAGATATTTTTTATTCATTTGACACACAGAGAGAGAGAGAGAGAGAGAGGTCACAAGTAGGCAGAGAGCAGGCAGAGAGAGAGGAGGAAGCAGGCTCCCCACCGAGCAGAGAGCCTGATTCGGGGCTCAATCCCAGGACTCTGAGATCATGACCTGAGCCAAAGGCAGAGGCTTTAACCCACTGAGCCACGCAGGTGCCCCGAGTTAAGAAATATTTTAAATTTTCATTGATCTGGTTCTCTCAGTTGAGGAAGGGGGAGTGTGTAGGGACTACCACAGGAAAGAAACATGAAGTTTTTAATTGTGGGGATGTTTTAACATGTATGAGCTCCAGTCTTTGTTTTCACAGACGTTTCTTCTAAAACAGAGCTGTGTGGTGTTGGCCAGCAAACTTTTTTTTTTTTGTATATTCAAAGATATATTCTCAATAATTATTTTCTGTTTGGGGTAGATATTTCCCAAGTGGAGATTAAGAGTACTTCAAACATGAAACTTCAATAGGTAAAGGTAAAAAGAAACTTCTTTTTGAGATCGGCTCAAAAGACAGGTGAATATATGTACTGTAAAAAGCCAGGCAAAATATGTGAGTATTTGGGCTTTATCTAAAAGTGGTGACAAATTTTTAATCATTTCAGTATGACCCATAGTTCCCACATACATGAAAGTGAAATGGTCTTGAGATAATTTAACTGAAATATTCCATAACTGAATAATAGGTTCAGATATAATTTTGCAGAAGCAGTGGATGACTCAATGGATAAGAGCCAAAAGAAATAAAAGGAGAAAGCCGGGCTTCTTTTAGGTTAAAAATCTGGTCAGTGTCCCTCCCCTATTGGGAGAAACAGTCCAAAATGGGTCTCTCACTCATCTGCGCATCTTGCCAAGCGTGCCAAGAATGCGTGGCCCCAGCCATTTCTCAAGGTTGTGTTTGGCACAAGAAACCTTGAGGGACAAGACAATGTCTCCCTTGAGACAAAAAACAGGATTGCTTACTTCTGGCTATAAAATGATAGATTCCCCAAGCTCAGAGTTCCTGTCCTATACAACAATTCATTGTCTATGAATGTCTATGAAGGTATTCATCTGGGCCCTTGCCAAAACTCCCTGTGCCCCCGACAATGGAACCACAGGGCAAGGAGGGCACGGACACAACATGTTCTCCACACCAAGGGTCATAAAATCCTTTGTCTCTGACCCAGGTCTCTCTTGCTTCTGCCAGCATCCATGAAACAGTAACAGGCAAACCTATTAGCTGGTAAGTTGGGTAAAATCAAATCTAGGCCCAATACCTTCCCCCCATCCCTTCTGGTTCAGTTTAAAGTCTTCCACTGTGGCCGTGGCCTTTGTGCTAGCGGTGGGGTACTTTGAGGGGAGCATGACAAATATATGGTATTAGAATAGGAACCTTCTCCCCACCCCCAAGCCCTACTTCCTTCAACAAACTTAGAAAAAGAACCTATACTACTCGTTCCTGAATGAAAAAGAAAAAGAGAAAAGAACAAGGGAGCGCCCAACATGGTCTGATCTCCTCTCACCATGAAAAACCATAACCCTTCACAAAAGTGACAGCAAAATAGCCTGGGGCAACATCCCATGGACCCCTCAGCAGCAGTGTTTCCTGTCTGAAAAGAGAGTCTCGTTGCATATAGAAAATGAAAACCTCCACTGTCATCAGCCCCCAATTAGAGAACTAATTTGAAGCAGTGAAATTCTCTGGAGGGCATGGGATACGGCCACCACTAGCGAACACCAGGCAGTTCAAAAAAATTACTCATCCAAGCCCCCACCCAAATGCAAACAGGAAGCCCAATACTTAGTTGACCTGCTTAGATTTTGGCAAACCCTATTCCCCACATGGGATGCCTACTGAACCCAATCCACCAAGCAACAAGGAAGAGAATGACATCGTGCTCATGTCTGGGGTGATCATGCAGTTACCACAGAATAAAAAATTGGACAATCACGGGGTGTTTTAATTTCTGCAAAGTTCAGATATCTGGGCTTAAGCTTTCTGTCATTTGTAACCTGCTAAATTTCAAGTTTCTGAGTTTGTTTTGTATGAGATTAAGAACTTCGGATGAGCCAAAAACATCTGGAACTTATTTTATAAAGATACTGTAAGATTTCTACATCTAATGTGATGTAAAACTACAACTAAAATAGATTACATACAAACATATAATGTCACATATGAATTAGTTCTTTTGCAACCCGGACAATCTTATGAACCATAGAAAGTGTTCCCATGTGAACTTTTTGGGTATGTTGTAAGATCTCTGATAATTCTTGATATTATTTGGATTGTGTTTGGCAACATTCTGAATTAGCTTTTGGAAAGTTTGACTAATAAAATACTGAATTAATGAATATTTCTATTTCATTAAAGATCATATGTAGGATTCTGCTTGTATGAAATCCTGAGATAATGCTTCATGTTCCCCCGGAGGGAAGCTAGAATTTTGTTTTTCTTTTCAGACAGCTGGGCGGTGGGCAATGAGATGGACAAAGGAGGAATCTGAACTTGTATGTTCAGGTACGAATTGCCAGATGTTTAGGCAGAGGGTAGTAAAGAGAAACACACGTTGTAATAGTGCAATATATAGTATGGGGCATTAAAATCTGGTATGGGGGAAATTAATTAAGCTTCCCTAAAAGAATAAGAGCAAAAGAAACCTAATTAAATCAGAAATGTTAACATGACCCTAGGAAATTTTCTTTGTCATGAAAGAAGTTCTTCCTAAGGGCTCCTGTGAAACAATATAAATTACAGCCTTAGCAAATAGTATTCTCCCACTCCCGAGGGGATTTTAATTCCTGATTCTCCTCAGGAACACGTATCGGCCTTACCCGCTGAGTGAGCTGTGCCTTTACGTTCTCTAGTTTTGGTTATCCGATTATAGTAAAGCTCTTTTTGCTGTTAAATACACAAACAAAACCTACCTTCCTTGAGGATTAAATGAATACATATATTTTTAAGAAAGTTGATCCAGAGTGCCATTCCTGGACTCTGGGTTACTGTTAGCTGTTGTTTTCCTCCAGTGAGTATTTTAAATACAAACCTGAATTTCATTGTGTTAAAACTGCACTTTAGCAGGAAAAGGAAGAAGCAGCCTCAGGGAGAAGGTCGGAGAGAAAATGGCTATCCTCCCAACAAAAGCAGCTTTCCACATCCTGTAAATTCCACTGAGACCTCTCCAGCAGTAGGAAACAAATCTCATGATGTAGACCCAGACTACCACCAAAACTGAAGGAACTTCCCATTAGGAAAATGTTTTAATTCCTCCACATAAGGATACATTTTGTGGGAAAACAGGGGACAAAGACTGCCCCCTTTGAAAAAGAATGCACAGAATAGTAAGAAGCTAATTTCTAGGTACCACACATTCGGGAATATCATGAAATTGGTAGCAAAGAATCAGGAAAGACTGCAAAAATCAGAAAAATTTTAAAAACCTGCAAATATAAACATAAAAGGAACAGAGGGGGAAAAGTCCAAGCTAAAGCAGAAAGAAGTGTTATAAGAATTTTTTAAAATTATAAAGTACTTTAAAGACAAAGTACTTAAGGGCACATGAAGAACCTTCTATAATAATCATCAGAATCTGAATAATAAACCGAAATTGTCCCCCTTGGTACACTGTAAAGCATGCAATTTTAATTATGTGATTTTTCTAGCTAATTTCTGCTTCAAAAACAGTAAAGTACTTCTGCTTACAAGGTGGCAGAGACAAGAACTTTGCTGAACCTCTTTTGTCATCAAAATTTAAATTAGCAGAAACATGCCTTTGAGTTAAATCACAATTAGCACTTAGACCTATTTATTGAGAACCCACTATGTGCCCAAAGCTGGCAGGATACGCTAAACAGATTACATTTGTAAAGCACTTGTCCCTTTTCAGGTTCTCACAAATGACATTTTAAGACCAACTATTTGTTTGTCAGCATTAGCTGCACGTGCTGAATACATCTATTATTATAAATAGCTCCTACTCAGGAGAGCCTTTGTTTTTAAAGGATAAAATATATCCAGCTGTACTTGTGTATATATATTTTACATAGTTATGTACGGAAGTCAGTCAACAATAATAAATACAACAGACTGTCAAACAAAATAAAACAACAATTTTGGGGGAACCAAAATGGCACATTTGTCAGGAGATGTCCACAAATAATTAATTACTTTCTCACAATAAAGATATTCTCTTAATCCTAGAGTCTCGTAAGAGGATCTCATTACTTTCTAACCATCTGTCATCACTCCTCCCCAAAAAACTAATTAGGGTTTCATCCAATCACACATTATAAATCATGCAAATGTGGATGGCAAAAAACACAGTTTAGAGAAGTTAACATTATAACATTTTGTATTCAAAGAATCACAGGCTTCAGAACTAGCCTTTCCTGCTCTAATAATTACCCTACTTATTTTTCTCATCTTTTCCTGATTAGTTATTCGATATTAAACTTAGAAAATTACATTTAAACAAAGAAAAACTTACAGATAGTAGAGTTTTCCTGCGGCAGGAAGTTCCCTTTTCCGGTAGTCGATCCCAGAATCGAGCTGGACCGTATTACAGTATTTCTGCAACCCAGAAACACAAACAAGTCGTGGCTCAGAATTATGATCTCTTGGCTATCCTTTTTCTTTTTTTAATCTTTGAACTTTTTCCTCAGGAAAACAACGCGTTTAGGACAAAACAAGAGACGTCAAGTAAGAATCATAAAAGTTGAACATTAAATATACATCAAGCCCAAAGAAATCAGTTCAAAAAAGTGAAGATTAGCAGCATGCCTTTCTGAAACTTTGCTGTAACAATGCTAACTGGCAAATTCCCCACCTGATGGCACTACATTAAACATTTTTTTAAACCCCAATTTCTGTTACCATTAAGTAAGAAGCTATCAGAAAAAAATAACTCGTGTGTCTTCAGCATCACAATGGGAGAGAGCTGGGCCTGAACGTCGTAGCCACATTTTAAGCCAAATGCTCTTACTAAAGGGATGTTTTCTGTATACCTGCACTTCACTCGTAAGTGACCACCACTGCCCGTATCCTGTAGAGTCCCCCACCTCCAGCCATCAATGTCTTTAGAGTTCTTTCCTGCTGCAGACCCTCCCTTTAGCTGGAGTCCTGTGCCACCCTTGTCCTTCCACTCTCCCAATCACTCTTTCCTTTCCATCTCCCCCCACCCCGCCCTGCCCAGGCTGCACATGTGCATGGAAACTCACACACCACACACACACACACACACACACACACTGAAATTCCTCCTGTAGAAGCTTATGAACTTTTGCTACACCTATCTCGGTCAGTCGGCTTTCTTTTTAGGGGGAGGGGGGGCATATATATTATATATTATATATTATAGACACATATTCATTCCAGTAAACAATGGTGAGCAAGGTTTTTCAGAACAATTCAAGAAAACATTTACAGGATGATCTTTTTGTTTTCATCCTAAATGAAAATTGCTTTATGAAAATTCATGAGGAAAAAATTGTATTTTAACAACTTCATTACCTTTATTAGTGAAAAACTGCTTTTTTGGGCCAAGGTAATTGTGGCAAACTGTGTTTTCCAAAGATGGCTCCAGTAATCTCCCCATGCCAACATGCTGTGATGTTGCTATCCCAACCATAACGGAGTGGGGTCTGTGCTCCCCCTCCCCCGAACCTTGTGACTAGGCAAGAGGATGCTCTGCGATAGTACCCTATGTGATCATCGAGGCAGCTTCTTACTCGCTAGCTGGAACACTTGCTCCGAACCCGGAGCTGTAAGGTAATCATCAAACTTACTGGAGAGAGCTCAAAGCAGCCTATACAGAGACATGGCCTGGAGGGGCACCGAGATGACATGAAACAGAGGTGTCGTCTGACCAGTCCCCAGCTGCTCCAGGTGTTGCCACTGCGGTCCTAAGGGAGCCGGAATTGCCAGCTGAGGCTTTCTCAAATCCCTAACCCATGGAAACCAGGAGAAATAATGAGGCAATGTTGTTTTAAGCCTCTAATGTCTTCAGTCATTTGTTACACAGCAATAGATAATCTGGGCACACTGGAAATGTGGCAACATTCTTCCTCTCTGAAAGTGCATCTTGGGCTGAACTGAGACCCAAGAGCCGAGGGCTGTTTATCCGCTGCACTGCAGGGAAGAGACTGAGCACAGGGGCAGGGAGAATACATTTCCCCCTTCCGTGCTGCAGCTGCTAAGTGGCTCAAGAAGGGAAAATAGGGCGATCAACCATTCCCCTGGGACTGAGGGGTTTCCCCGGATGCAGGACTGTCGGTGCTCACATCAGGACAGTCCTGGCCAAACTGGGACAGATGATCACTTTAGGAATAACCCAGAAATCTAAACTGGAACGCTGGAGTATTTTGATCCCAGGGTCCTGGGAACGAGCCTAGCGTTGGGCTCCCCGCTCAGCGGGGAGTTGGCTTTTCCTCCCTCCCACAACTTGTGGCCAAGCGCGCATGCGCAAACTCTCTCAAATAATTAAGTAAAATCTTTTAAAAAACGAAATAAAATAATCCCTGATGGTCCTCTAGGGAAGTCTGCAAAACAGGTTTTGAACCATACCTGTGACAAACAACCCTTGGACCTAACAAAGTCATGCCACCCTACAATGCTAGACCCGAGCAGCGGGTGGGCCTCCCTATATAGACCCCCTTGCCCAGCTCACCATTCCAAGTGGCTCAAACCCACTCCCCAGGCCTCTCTCTCGGGCCTGTAACCCATCTCACCAGAAAGGAATACGGTATCGCTCAAATACATGCACACGCATTCCACTCTCCTCTTGCCTCAGATGATCTGTTTTTTTTGTTGTTGTTGTTTTTTGTTTGTTTGTTTGTTTGTTTTTGATTCTTTTTGTTTGTTTTTATGCTATAGCCGTGTATCTCTCTTCTCAACTTTGAGTAATGTACCAAAATTGGGAAAAGAGAGACCTCCTCCCCTTTGCCCAGGCTGTCATTTTGGGGGCCCAGCCACCCAGGACAGGGAGGAGATACTCTTGTTTTAGCTAGCAGTTCAAACTGTCTCCGAGAGAAACCTGTCCGGCCGCCATAAGGGCCGGTATTTCATAAGCTAGTCGTACCACAGACAACACAATAAATAGCACGGCAATATATTCATGTAAGCATATTTACCCAGGCTCTGCATTTCTTTTAAACCACAGTTTATCTTATATGACCCAATATTCCTAATTTAGCCAAAATTTTTTCTTCATTTTTTTGCTATTAAAAAAATAAGACTAATGGAAGTTATACAAGCTTCAATTTCTTTCTGGGTAACTAACTTCTCTCTCATAGGAATGATTAAGCCCTACTGAATGATTGCATTTGTACATTCACTAATCACCACCAAGGAATACCTAATCAGCAGCAAAAAGAACTACAACCAAAGCCCTCAGATTTTAGCTCTTGTCTGAAAAATACTAACACTCCGTTTATACTTTTAAAGAAAAATAAACCTCAAATTTTCAGATTTTATTCACTGAAGCTAAGTTCTTCAGAACACTTTGCAGAAGGATGGAGGAGGGTGAAAGCTAAGCTATTTCCAAGTTGATGAATCTAGTCACAAGGGCATGATTTAATTTCCTAATTTCCAGGGATAGTTGCAAGACTGTGACCTCTTATCACCGTCCAATTGCAATGAATAAAACTAATCAGCTACCAAAAGAAATTTATTTTAAAATAGTTTGTATATTTACATATACAAAGGACAAACACAATTATACAATCTAAAAATGCAATTAGGAAATTTGGGGAGGAAACAGAAGGAGGTGAACACACCCGTGGGAGCATATGCATGAGTGAAAGGCCTTGACTTTGCAAAGAAAAATGTGCTACTAAAAGAACCATTTTCTAGCAGTTTGCATTTTCCTCAAGATCTATTGTGTGTATTTTTAGCAACTATGAATAGTATCATCAGAAAAATAGCCATCTCACAAAATAACTTTATATAGCTTCTAGTCTGGCTTTTCCCTTCCAAGTTGGAACAAAAGAACAATAAATATTGGGGGAAAAATCCTGTAAAACTACAACATATTAACCTTGTAAGCAAAGACTGAAATAATGAAGTCTTGCCTACCTTAAATACTTTATTAAAAAGTGATATTGCTTACAATGGAAAATTTGGAAAAAGAGAAAAAAACACATAACTCAAAGTTTTATGTCTTATCAAAGTGATTATATTGAATAGGAACTTAAAAGATATACACTATTGAAGTTTTGTGACAATACTAAACTGGTCAGTTTTATACATTTTTAATAAGTAAGTGTTAAAGGAAAATATGGTGGAGGCCTTTCTAGTTGCAGGAAATAAAATATTTAAATAACCAAAATCTGTCTTTTAACTTAGTACTTTCAAACCATATCTTTTTAAAAGTGATCCACGCTCATTGTAAAAAATTCCAATACTAAAAGTGTAAAAGTAGAAATGAAAGTCTATCCCCTTCTCAGAAAAAAGTTTGCTTATAGCTGATATCCTTCAAGTTTTTTCTACATGTTCAGAGATGATGATAAAGAAGCTGGGATCTTATTTATACACACAGTTCTAGGCTTAATTCTTTCCAATATCTTTTTTTTTTTTGAAGATTTTTAAAATTTATTTGACAGAGGGAAAGAGATCACAAGTAGGCAGAGTAGCAGGCAGAGAGAGAGGAGGAAGCGGGCCCCCTGCTGAGCAGAGAGCCCGATGATGCGGGGCTTGATCCCAGGACCCTGAGATCATGACCTGAGCCGAAGGCAGAGGCTTAACCCACTGAGCCACCCAGACGCCCTTCTTTCCAATATCTTAAATGTTCTATGAGAGAAATAACTAGATTTAAATATAGGAAAGCTACACTGGCACTGTACTGTTTTGTTTACTAAGAATGTAATTCTATAAGTAAATGACAAGTAAGAGTATAAGAAAGATACTGAGCCAAAAAAGAAAAAAGGAGACTCGGAGGGGAGGGTCTCTTTTTGAGGCAGGACATACATCCAGATATACATGCTGAAGCAGGTGTACATTCTAAGATACCTGCAACAATCACATTTAAAACAATCATGTGTTACCACTTTTAAGCGAAAGCAATGATACATAAAAATTCAACACATGCTACATTTGGACATATTTTTAAGCTTTGTGCGATATAAATATAACATAAATGCAGAAAAGCACACAAGTCATAAATGTCCAGCTCAGACAAGAAACAGAACATTACTAGCACCAGTGAAGTCCCCCCTACTAGCCTCTTCTACCTCTTCAAAGGTAACCAGTACTCTGATTGTAGCGACGCAGGATTTTGCCTCTTTGGGGAATTTTACTTGAGTAGATCCATCCCGTATGTATTCTTTTATGACTGGGCTCCTTTCTGTTTGTGAGATTCACCCATTTGTCTATAGTTACAGTTTGGTGTGTCACATCCACTATGTGAATAAGCCACAATCTATCAACTCATTCTACTGTTGGTGGACATTTGGGTTGTTTCTAGTTACTTGTTCTTTCTAATAATGCAGTCATGAACACGTCTGCACGTGAGTCTTGGCGCACACATGCACATGCTCTTGTTGGATACACACCTAGAAGAGTAACAGCTTGGCCAT